CCATATCGGCCCACTTGTAAGCTGTGAGAAAGAGGCAGAGCGAATGGGGAGGGGAAAAACACAGGGAGGAGAGATGGAGAGCAGAGAAACAAAGTATGATAAGATGAAGGCAAAAAAGGATAAGACAAGGCTCAAGAATGAGTCCGTCCTTGACAACAGAGAGGACATACATTGTAAGGACGAGGTGGATGACCACATGGAACACCTAGCTGAGCAAATATATGTATATATATAATTTCAAATATGCATATATATATAGTGTCAAACAGAGCTGCCAGGTAAACCGTAGGCAGAGAGGAAGAGGAGGACAACAAACGAGGAACTGTGACAAACTGACTCGTCGGAGTTTCACCGACTCTTCAAGAAGATAAACCCTCGACAGTCTGCAGAATCTCCTGACTGATTACACTAAGTGAGAATCCACCTTCTAAACCCCGGCTGTGTTTAAGCATCAACGACTGCCCCACAACTGGTACTCTGAGGTGGGCACCAACCAACCAACCACTGCCCTCAATGTACCTGTGACAAAATACAAAGCAGACAATCACTCACCCACACCAGACGAGAAATGCTGGTTCACACCCCATCACAAGCCAGCAAAACACCCACGAAACAAAGACAGGTCTATATGCGAATTTCTGAAAAACAAGCACGATATTGATTGAGTGATTGATCGGTTGGTTGGAGAAGGGGCAATGCCCAAGGGTTTCCAGTTTTCTCCCATCCTATGCCATGTGGCGCTATTGAACGAGCGTGTTCGATGCATTTCAAATACCAACATGGCAAAACATGCCCCCCACTGGCCATCACAATGGTCGTTGAAGTCACCAAGTCCCAAATACACATGAATACAACCAACCGCATCTAAGGGACAGAAGACATGAACCAGCCACCTTGCCACTTCTCTGCACATACCCGTTCACAGCACCATAGAAATCGGCAAACTTATGAGCGCATCACCTTGCGGAAGAACAATTCCGCTGATCCTTCACACCCCAGACAGGAAGACTTTCTACTCTCCAAATTCTTTCCTAAATTCAAGGACTACAGCACGGCATATCTCAGTTGATTCACTTTTGCTCGCCGCCAAGCCTATCCCGGACTGGCAAACTATAACTCGGATACAGAGTACGGCAAGATGTACCACATTGAAATGTCCCTTCGACGTTGGTCTACAGTGCACTCTTGAGCATTAAATAAGGAGATCAGCTGTTTTCTTGTTTACTCGAAGCAAACGTTTCATAATATTGGTTGTTGAAATGCCTAGCGGCCGCAGCCCACATCAGACATACATAGTAATAGGCTCCTCAAAGGTTTCATACCAGAGTCATCATTTTTTATGCAATTCTGATGATCAGTTTGTACTACTTTGTAGCTTGCATGCAACCGTTTACGCTAGCTATACAGTTTACGCTAGCTATACTCCCCATGCAGCCAGTATAAGAGCACCTCTGCACTCGCTATTTCATCGGACTTTCACCGACTCATCAGAAAGGGTGTGTGTGTGTGACCCAAATTTGAAACAACCTGGTCGACCTTAGAATCTTCCACAGCAAACATCATGAAGACAAAACAACAGCGACCTTTGAATCTTGCACAGCAGTGGCACATGTGTATCTTCGTCTTGGATAGTTACACATTTGCACTGTGTGTGTGTGTGTGTGTGTGTGTGTGTGTGTGTGTGTGTGTGTGTGTGTGTGTGTGTGTGTGTGTGTGTGTGTGTGTTGCTTTAAAAGCCGCCAGATTCTCTCTCATTCCCTTCACAAATTATAACAGGCCATCCATAAAACAAAACGGTTAGAGATGGGCAAAATATTTTAAAACAGTAAAAAAATGCAACGTTGGCCTTGTTCGCATGTTCAGCGCCAGGTGCCCACATACCCATCTGCCGCCAAAGCGGCACACTTGCACACATAGATATACACTACGGTTGCGACTTGTACTCACCCTCGTACGAGTATGAGTCATACTCCTTACTCGTATGCTACTCGTACGTAAAACTTTCTTTTTAATTGTTTTTTTATTTTTCCCTCAAATGATAATAAGAATCTGCAGACGATGCTCAACCAGATGTTGCTCCTGTTTGTCGTTGCAGCACACTTTTTTTTTACGGAATTTTTTTACGACTTTTTTTTTGTGCGGGGTTGTACAAGACGTTCAGTTCCCGTACATATATTTTTGTGTACGGATGTTTTTTCCGATTTTTTTGATAAATTTTTTGAGTCATACTCCTTACTCGTATGCTACCCGTGCACGTAACGTAGGATACAAATTTCAAAATTCATGAGGGCAGGGAGGGCAGAAGGCAACTTACCTAAGACAGAAGTACTCCAGCAAGAAGGCACCGACCCGACACCCTGACAGGTCCGGAAACACTTGGAGAGCTTTCCGCATCCGCCACCCCATTTCCCAAAAACCAAAAAAACATAACAGAATTGGCATTCCCAACATTCATCTCAAACTACACATTCGCATCACTGCCAAAGAGAGGTGAGAAGACATGAGACAACTTGCCTAAGACAGAAGACTCGTCCAGCAAGAACGCAACGACCAACCCTACCAAGGGTCCAAAAAAACTGGGAAAGCCTTCTCCACGCCGGCCCACAAAACATACATTCCCCCCAAAGAGAGAGAACCCGTGGCCACCCATCAACATCCAAACAGCCCATGCTCTAAAGCATGGTCGAAGAATTACGCCGTGCCGTGTACAATCAACAAAGCCGACGAGACATCTCCGCGCACGAAAAGAGAGAATAGCTCGTGTGTGTGCGACACTCGAGCCAGGTTATCTCCATACGAGGGACTTGAAATATTCCACTCTATCAACTGTTCACATGACAGCACTTGACGGTTCAGTCAGCAAACGAAAATTGGAACAGAGAAGAATCCTGATGACGGTTCAGTGAGCAAACGAAAAGTAGAACAGAGAAGAATCCGGACGACGGTTCGTTCAGTCAGTTAGCAAACGAAAAAGTAGTCAGGTGCATCGTGTAGTTCACTTGCCATCTTTCTCATCAAATTCACGGCAGAGCAAAAAACAACCCCGACTACAGCACAGCTCAGCTTTTCACAGACAGACCGGGAAGAGGCTCGCACGGCCACATTTCTGAAAGGCCACTGTACACGTAATCAATCATGCGGAAGAAACAACTTCCCCTCTTCGTAACTGGAGATTAGCAAACCGCTTTCGCTGACACATTATAAGCAACAAACAGGCACACATCATCCTAACGGCAAACAGGACCCCATACCCTTTTCCGTTCCTTCACTCTCCTTTCACAACGGCAGTTCCTACAACTAGTACGAAAAGCCAAGCGCACAAGCCAGATACCCAACCACGTGCACCAGCCCAAGGGCAAGTAAGTAGGGGAATGTGGAACCACCGAATCTTACCAAATCATACCACAGGGCTATAAAGCCGAAGATGGAAATCAGAGCCTCGAACCATAAACTCGGCAGCAATGAATACCGTCCGTGTTAGATAACAATTTGCTCCGCCAGTTGACACAGGAGTCAACCACAGTTAGTCCAAGTAAGTCGGGATGAAGCTGCTGTCTGGTTGTTTGGATAAGAGAGAATTTGCTCAGCCAGTTGACACAGGAGTCAACCACAGTCAGTCCACGTAAGTCGGGATGAAGAAGAGAATTTGCTTCCCTTTCAAGCTTAAGAAACAACAAGCTGTGGGTCTAACATTGACCGACAGTGACTGTGCTGGCCTTAAACAGACGGAGACCGACACATTAGAAGACTGATGGAGACCGACACAGTAGAAGAAGACTAAACAACAAGCAGACGAATAAAGTATTTTGAAAACCGACCACCTTCACAGCATCTGAGTGTGGATGTATTCAAATCTGTATGTGGCATGTAATACCTGCCACAGCGAACATACTAATCTCCGCCAGCACTAAAAACCACCCGAGTCGCGCGCTACCCGATTTGCAGGATATGCTCCTCTCTTCCCCAGTGGATCACCAGTTACAACCACAGTGCAAGGAAAGATGCAGTTACAGCGGATGAGCGGAGGCATGGGGCAACAGACCAGGTTACTTCCGAGTCCGCAGCTAAGAGCAGAAAAGATAGAACAGCGAGGCAGCAGAGGTGGTGTCAACATGGAGGCAAGGGGATCACACATGTCATCCTCACCATATATTTCACAGGAAAGTAGACGACCCCTACAGTGTAATACTTACTCTCGGACGAGTGGCATAGTACAGCAACATCAGCATACAAATCATAGAACAGCAACTAGTTAAATCCCACCATGAAGAGGGGGCTGAGAACCCCCTCGTTGTCAACATAACCAGAATGCAAGGTACGACGAGGCTACATTGAGCAGACAGAAAGCATCACATCTGTGGCCTGGGGATGATGTCAACAATCAGGTGAGCTAAACAGAGAACGTAACGTCTGTGTACGTACGGAAATGGCAGTCAACATCTGATGAGGCGCAGAGGGAAGCTAACCAGGAAAAGCTCACATAAAGACTACATAAAAGTTCCCCGAATATGAAAGGCACTCCCCCTATCTCCAAGCGTCAACAGGAAATAAGAAATTCCGTAGAGGTAACGACACAAAAACTGCTAAGCAGAGCACAAACATGGTGGAAAACACAGACCAGTTGCTTCCTTCTGGTGGGAGCGTAGCGTTTTGTCAAATGGGAACATGATGAAGTTACTCAGAGAAAATACCATATAGTGCGTATCAGAGAGAAGCAGTCACCCGAACATGCGCAGAAGGGCTTGCCAAGATAGGACAACAACCGGAACTGTTCCGCTACGGCAAAAGGGGCATTAGCTAAAATAAAGGGGGGCATCTTTGCAATTAAGCTGGTGAACGAGCAGCGAAAAGTTCTAGCTGGTGGATGAGAAGTGAAAAGTTCCAGCACATAATGGGTGTTGACATTGGGACAAAGTCGTATGCCTCATACCAGGAGGAGGAATGAGCACCATCAACTAAAAAGATATCCAGGATGATAGGAACAGACCAACGGGTCAAAAGAAACAAGTGAGATTCATCCAGAACGAAAAAGAAAAAAAGAAGATGGGTGAGGAGCAACAGAGAGTTCATTTTTGCCTGCGGGTAGGTAACCTGGTGGGGAGTCGGAGAGAAAGAAATTGGAACATGTACAGATGTCCCTACCAAGTAAAACAAAAGGGGAACAGACGTCCACATACAGAGCTCTACCATTTCACACACTGCCCACACCACCTAATCTATGTTTCGAACTCTCTCCACTTGACCAAACCCAGCTTTGCCTTACCTGGCCAAGCCCACACCCAGCACGAACCCGAGATTCTACCATTGCGAGCTTCCATCCATCCCTGCAGTAACCATTTGGGGCCACCATTTTTCACTTTCTCCACACTCTTTTGACGGGATGGAGCATAAAAAACTAACCACCAGGGAGTGATATATTGATATCTGTGCTCCTCCTGCTATCTGACATTCCGGGTGTATTTCCCCAGGCCATGCTCGACATCACCCCCATGTGACCACCACCGCCTCCCGAATTATGCCCTCCCATTTGATGGCCCCCTGACCCTCCAACTCCAATCTGATATCCACCTGGGGGCCCCTGATTCTGATATCCACCAGAGGAGCCCCCAACTCCAGGGCCAACTTGGTGCATGGCCCCTCCTTGCCCACCTTGCCCCTGATGGTGAGCCCCTGGCTGATGAGAACCTTGCCCTGCTGAAGACTGAGGCCCTGATAATGGTGGCGTGCTTGGCTTTGAACCGCCGCCTTCATGCTTTGGAACTCGTGAAAGCATTCCCCCTTGCTGCTGCCCAGGTGGTGTCTGCACCTGTTGCTGGCCTGGACTCATCCCCGCACCTGTGTTCACCTGGTGCATTAGAGTCCCTTGTGGTACGAGGCTCAAGCCAACCTCATTTCCCCCTGACACCGAAGGAGTTTGTGCAGACTTCCCCGACTCATTGTGGAATGTTCCAACCACCACCTGCACAATAGCATTCATTCCCCGCTAGCCATTAGCCAGAGCCGGCACGCCTTGCCACATACAATTCAAAACTACAAAGAGCGCACTCTCTTCTCCACTCTGAAGAATTAGAAAATGCAGAGTTAACAGCGCATTGCCACATACAAATATCCAACGGAAACTTTGAGACCTTCAAAAAAATTAGATGCTTCACAACCTGTGCGACATTTCAAAGTCTGTGGCACCAGCAAGGCGGGTAGGAACATAAATTTCACCAATCGTCCTCCATTTCTATCCGGCAGACAGATTACACTAAACTGCCCATCCCGAGGAAGACGCCCGGTTAGATTCAAGCTGTGAAAATTGCACTCGTACCAATATACTGTTGATAAGTGATCACATATAAGAATGATGATGCTAATCAGCATTGAAGTCATTTCAGTTTAGAACACTGACAAATCCAGTCCAATATGAGAAGAAACCGCTTCCAAGTATTCAGTACCTCAAACACACGAATTGCTCCCGAAAGAAGCATTGCACGAAAACATACCTGAATAGGACTTGCTGCCATTAGAATTCCAGCCACACTCCCTCCAAACACTCGTCCATCAGGTGCTGCCAATGACACACTCAATCCTCCTGTCCGGCTCCGCCCGCCAGCAGCCTCACCAGGCATGAAAGACCCCGATAGTGAAAGGAGTTCGTACCTTCCCTGTGTCATCACAGCCGATAAGCTACTGTAAGCCTTGGATACTGCAAATCACCTATCTACTTTCAAACCATTCACCATGGATGGGAGGAATAATCACCTATCGACCTCCCAACCATTCCGCAAACACATCAAACAAAATGCCATACCATTGCAAAATGCATGGACACGAGTAACTCCCACTGCCAGCCAGGCATCGAGAGTACCATTGCAAGCAAAATGCCATACCATTGCCAAAGCATCCCAACACAATCGCTAACACAACTGCAAGCAATGCCATGGCATTGCCCAAACATCCCAAAACGATTTCTAATCAATACACTGGATGTCAGCATCACAAGGATAATTAGGGCTGTTCCTGACCTCGGACTGTGCAACACATTCATTCCCAAACCGCATGTATCTATGACCCAAGAAGGAAACAACGGTGATTATCCTCTTTCAGGACTCGAGTGACGCCTGGAGACACTGGGAGGGAGAACCTTTCCCTGTGGCATCACCTAACACCTCTCACCTCTGATGTGGTGGGGGAAAAAGTACACAGAACAATTTGCACATATCAACCATAAAATTGCAACCTATTCACAAGTTTTCCCCGAGTGTACAAGTTCGACATACAGAAATGAGGCATCATTGTACCCACCCTAAAGTGTCTCTGACACATCACCACAATGACAAACACTACCGCCCCTTGTGCTGCCCATGAAGCACAGGGGTAAACACGGCAGGTCACAGCTTCACCAGTTAGCACCCCGGCAGCAGCCTGAGATGATGCCACACACAAAGGTGGCTACCACACTCTAGCATCCGATGGTGACCTCTACAACTGACAGACTCCAATACCTGGCAGCAGAAGCTCAGCGACTCCTGAGTCAAATCTGTTCAGAGAGTGCGGTGACCAGAGACGGCATGATCTCGCCCTGGAAGACGACAGTCAACAATCTTCAAGGAACCAAGGACCTCGCCACACCTCTCTCAGAGCCATTTTTTTCCAGACAATGGCCACTGCAATACAGTCTCGTGAAACTCCGACTGATAGAAAGTTTCAAGAGGTATCGGAAAAGAGTTTTGGGAACACATCTAAAAAAACGTGAGATCACCAGCCTGCAACATCAAGACTATTGAGAGTCCACCTACCTCTCAACAGTACCCTCAAAATTGGAGTGGGCCTGGGGATGGGACGGATAAGGTTGTCCTGTCCACATGCCCGATTGTATTACATTCAAAAGTTGGCCCTTCCACAAGTGCTGAGTGGTGAAGAGGCAGAAACTCTCAAAAGCCGATGTTGCCCCTTCCATGAGTGCTGAGTGGTGAAGCTGAGTGGTGAAGGGGCAGAAACTCTGAAAAAACAAACCGCCAAAAACAGCAGACAACTTGGTGAAGGGGCCAAAAGTCGTCCCATCTTCGAGATCAGTGTGGCAAGCCCCCAGAGCATTACGTTTGTACAGGATTTCATCCGTTTTAATAAGTGCGGCGAAAGAAAACAGGGCCAGTGGACCACGCATTTAATCAGTGCTAGCCCGTACTGACCGTTGGACGTTTGTATCATCGTTCAGCCACATGGGCTGGTTCTTTGGCTTTTCTTTTTCCGTTCATCCAAGTGAAAAAGCTATGCTACCAGGTTACTCTTCTTTCATTTTCAGGCATTCAACCAAACATTACTCAAGCAAATTCCAACGCCCTATGAGATGCATGTAGACAATTATGTCTACCACATTCAAGGAATGACACTGGTTTATTGCAGGGAAGAAACAGGGTGGGAGGGCAGGAGGAGGAGGGGAGACAGGCATTGAGTGACAGGTAGAGCACAAATTCCAGGTTCCATCTGAACGGCGGACATCCGACACAGTTGGGAACCAAAACCAAGGGAGAAGAAACCAGCACTTCTGTAATTAGCACATTTATATTATAGAGTCGATCCATAGCAAATTCAAATTCCACGTTTCTCTTGTAGTACTCTCTGACGGAGGAACTCATGGGTCTATTGTCAGGAGTTCACTTCCAGCAAGAAACCATTGACTGGGGTAATGTCAATGATATCAATCAATGGCTGAGAGAACCACAATAAACTCGACAGAGTTTCAAAAGCTTCACTAAACCAAAATGCTATGGAAGGCACGAAGGTTATATATATGTGTGCATCGTTACAATTCATATGACAAAAGCAAAAGCTGAACAACAAATAGACCATCTGCATATTTTCAGACAGGTATTAAGCATTCGACCAGCAAGATACAGGAGATGAGAACAAGGCTAAACAGCAACAAGTGCACCCGGGGTATGCAGAGTGAGCTGGCAACGTTGACTGATACAGATCGACTACAAACAAAAAACAAAAGAAAGATGGGTAGATCCACCAGTCTTCCAAAATCAAAACCAGAGAAGTCGAACAGTTCAAAATCGAGAACTCAGATTTTTAAGATACACATGAAATCACAGGATCAAGCAAGCCTCAAACAATCATGCAGGAAAGAAAGAGAATTGGAATCAATGACAAAAGCCAATCAGATAGGATAAGAGGTGGAAAGGGCTGCAGGAGAATGGGTGGTTGGGTGGGTTGTTAGGGCGGCCAAGGGAGGGACGGGAGGAGGGGAAGGGGAAGTGAGTGGGGAAGAAAGGGAGGAGGTGAGGGAGGGCCAGTACGAAGTTTAAGGGGAAGAGGGCGGAGTAAACAGCCTTGAATATATGCTTACTAATGTGGAAAAGAACTGAGAGCTGATAGACTGATGTGTGTATGAAGATGGATTAGGACTACAAAGGAAATTGAGGTGGCTGGTGTAACAAAAAGTCAGAAGGTATGAGGCACATCCAACATAGAGGCGCCACGTGGACAAACGGAGAAAACCATACAGGTGAAAAAAAAGTGGAGGGAGGGTAAGAAAACAAAACCCTCTCACCTCGTAGACTATCGTATCAACCACCCGGCGTGAACAAGTCCCGTCCGCCTAGCAAAAGCACCATCGTTTTCAAAATGAAAATTAAAAGAACGGATATGGAGGACGCACAAGACAAGACACTGTGAATTTGATGCAAGATCAAAGAGACTATGGGGGCAGGCCGGGGAAAGGAATGAAGGGGTTGGGCATGGGGTGCCTGATAGAAAAGACAGGCAAAGTTAAACAGTAGGAGGAGGAGAGGGGGGGACGGGAATGGGTGCTTTTTCTTGGGAGGGAGGGGGGCAAGGGGGGCGAGGGCAGGGCTAGAAAGGTGAGAAGAACAGCAGGACAGTGACTGCTGGATACCACTCTAGGAGCATTCATAGGATCAGCAGCACATAAGAGACGAATTTGGTGCTTTCAGGGTAAGAGGAATCCAGCTATCCGCCAACCAGAGAAAAGCAATCAGCACAGCATAATTTTGCTATCTTTTAGTACAGCAACAGAAGTAGGACTGCCAGCTAGCCAGCAAGCAAGCAGCAGTGCCACGCCCAACCCAAACAACACACATCTGCCATCAAAGCTAGCTTCCTTCAACAGACTGGATGCCAGACAACATAGCAAAGCAGGGAGACAGAGCTGAACTCATATCTCCCATCAACGCATCAGCTGAACGTCCCAGAGCAGCATTGCCAAAACTGGAACAAGTTCCCTTACGTAAGGACTGAATGCCTTCATGAAATGGCTATCCCATCAACAGCAGCAGTCAAGCGAACACTCCAAAATACAGCCGAAATACAACTATCAAAAGTCGACGAGACAACCATGACAGAGTATCCAGGAGCTTGTGCAGACATAGCTCTAGAGCACACGGATGTGTCACTGCATTCCGAAAAAAATGCCATTCATATCTGCAAGAATGCCTGCTAGGACTTCGGTGCCGATAGGGGCATGCACGCAAAAAACCATTAAATATCTGTCTCCGAAAGCACACAAACGACAGCAATCATATGCCTGAAAACTACTGAAAGAAACTCTTTTACAAAAACAATAGTAACCATCAAAGAGCAGAGAGCTCTGATCGTTGTTTCTGTGAGGCAACACCCACACACAGAGGGCGCCCCTGCAAACTCGCATGCATCAAACACTTCGCAGAACAGCAAACACACACACATGCACACACACACGCACACATGCACATGCACACACACACGCACACACAAGATTCATACCATGTGTAGACCCTCTATTCAAGGTACTAACTCACCACTAGAGCTTTCAAGAAGATTCAATACAGCCATTCAAACACAGTTGGAATAAGGGAATTGATAATATTCATGACCTGGCCATCTGCATCATGCACCTCGGCTAAAGCTACAAGCGTATCGAATGCAGTATTCAAACTCCAACATGCACGACAAAGGCACGGACCACTAAGTGAAGGAGGAATGCCTGGAGGACCCCAACATGAATGACAACGACGAAGGCAGTATGGAATGCATGGTCCTGAGACCTCCATGCAGGGTACAACGGTTATGTGAAACGGAGCAGGGAAAATATATACGGATCAGTGATTGCATACTTGCTTGCGACCTTCCACATATACCAGTGTGGTCGGTAAACCCTTCACAGAAGATCAAGACCTAAGTGACTTGAGTCACTGGACAATACAGGACAATTGGTTTTCCTTCACTAGTTACAGCGGAAAGGAGGCAACGCATGGCTACGAGGGGCCTACGTTGTGCCAGGCAATGCTCACTCAAGAAGTTAACATGGGACTGCTCACAGGATGAGAATACAAATGGCTCCTGAAATTGGCCAAGCGAGGAATATATCAATAGGAAGGAGGGATAGGAAATGTCATGCATCACAAGAGTGACAGAGAGAGCACACGCACAGAATAAAAGATTCAACAACGCCCTGCATCTGTCACAAAAACATAGCACAGATATGGCAGTGCGGTAGTTCCAGTGATGCCACAGATCAAACACGAGCTCCTTCCCGCATTGGCAAGACCAATACATACGTCAGTATATAATCAGAAACACGCGAATTGCCGCCAAAAAGCAGAAACTATGGTCTGTGAGTTAAAGATTACCGGAATTCACCTCTCAGCACATGTAGTTCACCGAATCTCAAGAAACATGTAACGAAAGAAGATTACAAGACATAGATGCAACAAGAGAAAGATAACAAAACACAGGCAGGATGCTGAAAAGGGTGACGGCCACATATCACGTCATTCTCATCTTCGGATTCAAAACCTGATCAAGCAAAAAGGAGTCAGGTGCGAACTCAAGTGTGGGACTAAGGCTCTTGTTGACAAAACGAGTTTGGTTAAGCGCAGGCAAACCAGGATGCTGAAAAGGGTGACGGCCACATATCACGTCATTCTCATCTTCGGATTCAAAACCTGATCAAGCAAAAAGGAGTCAGGTGCGGAACTCAAGTGTGGGACTAAGGCTCTTGTTGACAAAACGAGTTTGGTTAAGCGCAGGCAAACAAATTGAAAACAGTGTCCAATGTGTAAAGCGCGCAACACAATTTCATACATGAACTTTGGCACAGTCAATGCAGGTCCAATGTGTCAGGCGAGCAACAGACAAGTTCATTGACAAACGATGGCCCTTGTTGAAGAATCGCATAACAGACAGGTGCGAGAGAGCTGTGTGTGAGGGTCAAGTCAAAACATACGGGAAAGAAAGCCTCAGTGGAACTCTAGATTTCGTCATAACTCTCAACCTATTGCAAATGGCCTCTAATTACACCTCTCAGAACCAAATCTGCTAAGCTCTCAACAACCTCGTAAATTTCCTTCCTCATTCCTTGTACAGAATCCACGGCCACGGCCTCTAATTTCCAAGCCAGGACCAAACAACCACCTACCAGCACTACCAGATTACCTCTAAGTATAACCAACAGACACTTCGCGATGCCCATTGACAAGGAGAATTCACACCAGCACTACATTTCCGATTTCCACTTCATGCATTCGGCAATCATGGTCCACTTCACACCCTGCTACAGCATGCCAATCCCATGCCCTTTCATTTTCTTGCAGTCATCACTACTTCACGCATTCTTATGTTCCACTTCTCCTGGATTTGCTGATTCATACATGCCTGCTAGTATTCTTTCACCAACCATTCACTGACCCCCTTTGATGAGATATCACACTATCGTTCTCACAGAGAATGAGCACTCAATACACCAATGTTGACGACTAGCTTCATGAACTCCACCCACTCATCAGCACGCAATGATACTGCTTGACCATAGCATGTCAGCTCAGCACTTTCGAGATCGTTTACACTCTGTCAGCCGTCATTTACACGGATCTTACAAACTTCATAATGCGCCTCTTACAAACTTCATACTGCGCCGACGGAAAGTTTTAAAGATCTCTTCCCGGTCGCATAGTAGGCAACAGAGAAATGTCAAGTGGTCACTTGACGATTTTGGTGAGGTGTAGGGTCCTAGAATAAGCTGGCATAAGTACCTCAAGTGTAAGTGTGCCTCCAGCTGCGGTTTGCTGTCGCAATGCAACGGCAGAGATTGCACCATTTGCAGATAGAACGCACATCGCTCGCGAGCCCTGCTGAGAAAAAGCCATGATCTTTTGGCAAACATCCTGCACCAGAAGATCAATAAGAACACACCACAAACACATAGTCACAAAAATACAACGTGCGCTCATCACATTTTCGGAAGGGCAAAAAGAACCTTGGGATGTAACCTTCTTCACAGCAGTTCACTGACTTAGGGCAATTCTTAGTGACAAAATTTATTCTTAATGACGAAATTTCCCTCGTTCACACGCCGCAAATGCAGGTAATGCAGGTAATGCAGGGAAGGCAAATCGCTGAGTCAAAATCCGGATGATCTTAGAATAGGGATTGTGCTCCACAGTCCTAGTTTGTGGTTTCTTCCCTTCAAAGCAGGCCCTTTCCTCAATGACAAAATTTATTCTTAATCCCGAAATTTCCCTCGCTCACAAGCCGCAAATGCAGGGAATGCAGGGAATGCAGGGAAGGCAAATCGCTGAGTCAAAATCCGGATGGTCTTAGAATAGGGATTGTGCTCCACAGTCCTAGTTTGTGTTTTCTTCCCTTCGAAGTAGGCCCTTTCCGTCGTAAATTCTTGTTTGTGCTCCACATTCCTGGTTCGAGTTCTTTTGTTCAGTTCAAGTTCTTTTCTTTTTAAGCCGCCGGCACCTCACCCACACATCAGGCACAGGCCCCTCACCACAACTACCGGCCAGCCCGAAACGTGACTACAGCTGCCAGCCAAATCTATCAAAGGGGGCCCCAAAACATTGTGCCCATCAACGAGCCACATCTCTGAAAAGTACCTGGGAAAGGTACTGGTTGTTTAAAGTACGTAAGCAGTTTCCTCTGTAAATTCTTGACGAGGCTCCACAGGTCGTGTGGGACACTTCGTGGGCAAAGGATGGCTGAGGTCCATTTCGCACGCTCCAAGGTGGTGTGGCACGGACATCGTTTCGTCTGCCGACAGGAGACCAAGGGGACGCATCATTAAACTAAGAACGGTTCGCATCATTAAACTGAGAACGGGCTGAGGTCCATTTTGCACGCTGCAAGGTGGTGGCACGGACGTCGTTTCGCCTGCCGAAAGGAGACCAGGCGGACGCATCAGTAAACTAAGAACATGAGAACGTTGTATCGGGCAAAGGACGGCTGAGGTTCATTTTTCACGCTCCAAGGTGACGGCACGACTGAGGCCCATTAATGAATATATTTTGGGAAGGAGACTGGGGGGGCACATCATTTAACTAAGAATGTTTTATGGCGTCCCCGCTCAGCCACGAATCCTCTTCTTTCGCCAGAGTAACGGCTGATGCACTGTTCATAGGGAAAGTGAATTTTCGCTATGGAGCGCCACATCAGTTAAGAAAATCCTTCGTGAAGCACAACCCTAAGGCCATCGGGTTTGGCACCATAACTTCACTCTGCGAAATCGGCCTCATTGTTCTATGAACTCTGAAGAGGCCGTAGTAATTTCCGACGCTTCACGAGGAGAAGTTTTCACGAATCTTCCGAAAATATAGCTGTACGATCGAATGGCCGAGTTTGGCCGCTGCTGCAAGGAACCTGCCAAAAGAAACATTGGGAGGTCTGGCTAGTGTAGGGAAAAGAAAGAAGTCTTACGACCCGACCGCGCAGTTTTACAAGTCCCTTTTCTCCCACACGAGCGCGGGCGACTTGAGAATATTATTGTTTTCGACTGTGTAGTCACAACTTCACCCGACGAATTCCTTATGCTGTGGAACCCAAGTCATAATCGCGGCGGCGATCTTCTCTTTTCTGTCCTCGGTTAACGCTGGCTTGTCTACAAGTGCAGAGTGCGCTTCCTATAATCACCTAATATCAACGGGTTTTGCACTTTTCTGTCGATACGGCGGGGCAGTAGATTGTGATGACGCGAACCCAAGTCATAGTCGCGGCGGCGATCTTCTCTTTTCTGTCCTCGGTTAACGCTGGCTTATCAAGTGCAGAGTGCGCTTCCTATAATCACCTAATATCAACGGGTTTTGCACTTTTCTGTCGATACGGCGGGGCAGTAGATTGTGATGATGCGACAATTCTTTTCCGCAGTCTTTTTTCCACAAACTTCTTAGATCAAAACGATTGGGATTCGGGTCAACTCCGCAAGCGCCGCAAAATAGTACCTCCCGTGGCTCGGCAGGTAGCTCACAAATGATAGAACAAGAATAGGTGGGGTGCCGATTAGTCTGACAGCCGCAGCACGTTGCAAATTTCGGATGAAAAGATCAAAGACGTGCTACGGCAGTGTAGGTACGCCCTTAGGCACAAACAACGCACAGGCGACCAAGCTTTCCCAACTTTGCCAGCCACGAATAAATTGATTATTGACCAATCGTCCAACTCATTAATGAAAAAGCTTTATCGCAGACGGTTCAGCATCTGCTCGCCGTTACACATGAATGTGTCACAGCAACACGTTTGCAACCGTCGGAATGTGTACAAGACATCTACATTCCGGAAAACACAGAGCAGAGCACACGGTGCTAACCGTTATTAAGTTGGGAGTGTACATTCATGATCTGAGTAATGGACAACGGGGCGTACCTTGTGCGCAAAAAGCAAGGCGCGATTGCGGGAGTTCAAGAGAGAACTTTCAGGGCCATAGTCGCATAGTTCTGCTGAGGGAGATCATGGCACGACCTTAAGAAAAAACACTAGCTCCTGTGTCGAAGGCCATGACGGCGCAAAAAGGTATTACAATCATGAAACTAAGTAAAAATGTATTACAATTATGAAACTAAGTAATGGACAATGGCGCGTACCTTGTGCACAAAAAACAAGGCGCGATGGCGGGAGACCAAGAGAGGGCTTTTCGGGTCATAGACACATAGGTCTGCTGTGGGAGATCATGGCACCACCTTGAGAGAACCCACTAGCTCCTGTCTCGAAGGCCGCATTGGCGCAGAGAGATATCACAATCATGAAAAAGGCGGACAGACACCTAGAGACGTGCCACCCCATACCATGCGAGTTCATTATCAGACAATTGGTTGATGCCGTACGACCTTCGTCAAACAACAATTGCACTCTGTGGCGCCGTGGCTGCAAAGCAAGTCGTACCAATTCACAAGCGCTAACAGCAGGATGTAGGCCGCGAGTTTGTTCATGCTGAGATGGGGGACCCTCACACAAAACATGCAGTGGACAAGGTGCTACTCACTACCGCGTCTGCGGTGAATTTACCTATCGCTAGCCGCCAATGGCAGTCCCAACCCCCTTATACGATGTATGACCACAATGGCCCGTAACTTTTCTCTAGAGAGCTACAGAGAAAACCGCGCGTGAGCGTGAGCAGACAAAAAAAGCCATCAGTCGGAACACAAACGTAAGCTCTAGAGATCAATGCCAACCAGTCTAGAGATCACTGGCCACCAGCCTTTCCGCCATGCTGCCGACATGAGGTGGACGAACTCGCTCATCTTCAGTAAACAAGCAGAAAAAGTACGTGTGAAAGCACCCCTTCAATTAAACGCCCGTCGTATGGACGTATACATAAACGACGAGTAACGTAATGCTAAAAGAGAAGCGCTATTAACATCAGCAACTTCGTATGGACGTATACGTAAAAGACAAGTAATGCTAAAAGAGAAGCGCTATGAAAGTCAGCAGCTTCCCACTAACGTCGGAACTCTGCCAAAAAGGAGCCCTTTTCCGGGCCAGGTGCACTACCCACCCTACATGACATCGAAGAAAAGCCCTTTTCCGGGCCAGGTGCATTAACTACCCACCCTACATTACATCGCAGAAAAGCCCTTTTCCGGGCCAGGTGCATTACCTACCCACCCTACATGACATCTCCATTCTTCGATACCACAGGGCTTTACAGAAGCCGGTTTAAGCCAAGCGACCCAGTAAACAAGTGAGCTCATTACCGAGCTGAGGATGCCCTGCAGAATGATTGCACCACGACTGACGTCAAAGACCGTTGCTGCCAATCGCAGAGGAATCAATCGTGGCCTGACCCTCAAGAACTTCCTCGGCATTCACTGTCAGAGAAACAGCAAACCTCCATCCACTTCACGAAACGATGGGAAACTATAAAGCGGACGCAAAACCTCTACTCTATCGAAGTTGCCGTACGGAAACCACAGCTCCATTCAGATACAATGTCTTCCAACCTCAGCTGGGAGATATGCGTAACGTCGCTGGAAAATTGAACACCCGAAATTGAAGGTGGGCACTACAGTTGGCCCAAGAAGTCATATGAGAAATCAAAGAATAGACAACTAAGAGAGAAAACACCAATGACCCCCTCCCCTCGAAAAGTTTTCCCCGCATCCGCGTAAATAATCTTCCCGCATTGCGACTGTTACTTCATACTTAATTTCCCGCATTGCGACTGTTACTTCATACTTAATTACACCTTTCACCTGCTCAAGGCTCTAATGCGAAGAAAACACGGGGAGACGCATTCAATTATTTAAAAAAAAATAGAAAGCAAAACAAAACAAATGACGTTATGCAATTTCTGATTCCCGAGCGTGGCCTTCTTATTTCTGCACGTGCTTTCGATACGCGATGGTATAGAAGCCGATGTTCTCGGTTTGGCTCTCACAGAGCCCCATCGACGTTCCCCAGTGTGTCATAGCCCAAAATCACGGAGAAGAATAAGGTTCGCAGGAGTGGACAGCATAAGTGCGGATTGACACTTGAGGGGACAGCATAAGTGCGGATTGAGACTTAAGTGGACAGCATGAGTGCGGATTGACACTTGAGTGGACAGCATAAGTGCGGATTGACACTTGGCGAAACATGAAAGCGAGCACGAAGAACAACTTGGGTAGGGCTTGTGCCCCCATTGTCACCGCTCACCTCATATGTGCCCACCATAATCACATGCGGCGTGAAGCCCGCGCCTGTTTTTCCACGCACAAGTTACAATTTCCCATGATAGCCATCCCCTCTCCCCCTCCCCCCAAAGCACACGCAGGACAACCGGCAGGTGGAAACGCGTGAAAGAGGCAAGATGGGGACCCGAAGCGCAACAGAGAGCAAGCCATGAATGACCAGGAGAACGGCAGCCGCAGAATACCCCTAATCCCGAACAACATGCCACGACCATTACTCGCCGAGTGCCAGATCCCAACACACAACAGGGAACAATTTACGAAATCAGTTGTCGTCCCTCAGCATGCGACCGTTAGAAATTGCATCAAGCAACCAACTCATCCAACAAGATTCCAACACCGTTAACGGTTTATTCTCTTTGGCGCTTACCTCTTCCCCTTGCCTGCTCTTTGCCCTTCACCCTATAGAACCAACCAATTTCAAAGACCAATGTCGCAGCTTCGTTATGCATAACAGGACTCCTCGTGGACTTGTGAATTGTTGTTCCTTGGTTAATTTCAGATTAACTCCCCACTTGCCTCAGCAACTTCACCAAATACCCTAAAAGGGATAACTAGAAAATTCCTGCACAGGAGGCCCATTACAGGGTGCAAACCCGTAACCCTGGTCATTCCAAACACTCCGGAGCGCACATGTTGTCACGCTCGGACTCAGCGAACAAAGAACAAAGGAAACGTGCCGTGAAATGACGGACGATTGAGACGTTCACTAAAAAGACATATCAACGTACAGGAGAAGAGCATGTCAGCGGGCGTATGGAGAGGAACAAATGCGACCCGGGAGCCAGAGGCAGAGAAGAAAAGCGTAGGGCGACCAGCAAAGATCGAGGCGCTATCAAGACAGGAAGTTGGACGAGGCCAAAAGGGAGACCGGAAAACGAAGATACGAGACAGGAAGTTGAAGGGCTAAAAGAGAGACCGGAAAAAGGAGACAAGAGACGAAACACATCCACCGCAGACATCACAAGGCTGACATAGGATAGACTTGAAGACGAACAGAAGAGACCCAGAAAGGTAGAGAATCAGAATGACAGTAGTACAGGGGCAATTGGACGAGTGAACATGACTCTGAACCAAAGACTAAGGAAAAGAGAAAAGGGTACAGCAGCGGAGAGTAGAACACCGGGAAAGCGAGCGGAGAGAAGACGACCAACAAAAGGAAGCAGGCAGGACGTTAGTACATGGAGGCAATAGACACAGAGAAGTCAGAGACGACAGAAAGAAACAAGTGACAGTGAGCAGACGTAGAAAAAAGGCGGACTGGAGAGGCGAAGGGGGAACATCAGAAAGACCAGAAACAAAGAAGTGCCAGGTGAGAAAACATGAAAAAAGGAGGGGAAACCGGACGACAGAATAGACGCCGAGAAGAGGTACTGCAGCAACACGGATAACAGCCAGACAAGACAGAGAAAGGCAGGAGGTCCAAGCAGACAACACAGGTGGTCAAGGGTTACAACGACAAGTCCACGGATTGAGAACCGCGGGGAACAAAATGACACTGAGGAAAGAAGGGGCAGCGGAGGCTAACGGCCAACCGATATGAGAGGCACGCGCCAGGAAGTGGCTATAAACTGCAAATAGCACAACAGCCAAAGAGCTGACAACGGTCACCAAGAGAGAACTGGCGGCAACCATCAACATCCGGCGAGCGCAGCAGCCCCGAATTAGCAAGAAACACAAATGAGAAATAGCAAGAGAAAAAGCCAACGGAGTTAGAGAGACCCGTGCCGCGGAACGACAGCAAACTCGGTGAAAGAAGCCAACGGAGACAGCAAGCTCAAGAAGAATGGCAGACAGCGGAGAAGGGCAGCCGAAGCAAGCAGAGGTGCATGCAGGGGAGCGCAGCAAGAAGAGAAGCACCGAGGGAGGGACCTGAGAGAAAGACAGGCATGAGCCAAAGAACGACGGAAGGATATAAAGAATTCAAGTCGAGGAACGGGGGATAAAAAAGGCAGGAGGGCACGCGAGGGGCAAGAGCCGGGGAAAGGTAGGTGCAGACAAAAGACGTAGAAAATCGGACGCGACAGTACACAGGCAAAAGCCGGCGAGACTCGACGAGAAATTGGGAAGACGGAAAGCGGGAAAGAGAAGCGAAATGGATGCAGAACAAAGGTAGAAAGTTGGACGCGACGATCGTGGCTGAGAATTTCCGGTAAAGCGCGCAGAGCGGATAGGGGTGACAGAGGAAAAGCGCCAAAGAGAGGCCCAAGAGAGACGAAGAAAGAAGGTGCGGGAAAGAGGACAATCGGGAGGGGATGCGGGAGAGAAAGAAGGGCTGTGGAAGAAGAGTGGAGATGATAAAACAGGAGCAGAAAAAAGAACCGATGGGTAGATCGAGCGGAAGAGAGAAAGTTCAACAAACCAACCAAACCGAGTAAAGAAAAGAATCACGGCAACAAATGGTGGAAGGGGAAGGAGCACGAAAAAGCAGATAGACAGAGCTGGGAAAGGAGGATAGGGCATGAGTAAAGAATTGGATGAAAATGCAAGAGGAACAAGCAGGAACAAGCAGGAAAAGAACGAGCAAGAGAATACGATAAGCAGACAAATAGATGTGGCAGGATATCGTGAGAAAGGACCCGGGTGAAGGAGGGAAGAGACCATAACGAGAGCAAGGACAACGACGACCACAAACACCAACCAGGCCCAAAATTGGAAACCATACGCGACTCAGAGGCAAAAGGTGAGCCGCGGCGGACGACAAGGACGCAGACGAGAGACGATAGAGGGGAAAGCCAAAAGCAGAGGATATACAGTGGCGGGAGCCTGCATGGAGGAAGAAGATGGAAAAAGGAGCACGAGAGGGAGAAACGGGGTGAACTAGGAGATGAAAGAGGAACCGGGAAGCCGATAATTAGTAGGCAGATGCACGGAAGACGAACATAGGAAACAAGACGGAAAGCTATGGCGAGCAGAGACAGGCAAGAGATGGGCAGAAAAGACGGAGTGCACTCGAGAGTAGAGGCGTGAGGGGGGTAAGGCGGATAACAGACAGGTGAGCCAGAAAATGAGGGGAAGCGGAACCAGGTGTGAGGGACACGGATAAGGCGGGAAAAAAAAACAGGAACAGACGTAGGAGAAAAGGCTGACATCACGGCAGGCTTTAACAGAGGCAAATACCGACTCATAACTGGGGTGCGGGGCAGGAGAACAGGTACGCAAGATGCGCCGCGGCGACATGCTGGTCTGCAGATAGGTGGGGAATTGAGTGAAGAGGGAGCAAAGAACGAGAGGTGTAGACCCAATAGTCAATACCTATGGAGCCGTACTTCTTCCCCGATCCAGGCGGTCGTCCTCTGCCTCTCTTCTCCGAAGGTGATGTACCCGGCAAGAGCGCAAGTGCAGACCCCGGTCCACCATCCCCGTCGGCTAACGGAAATTTTCGGGGCCTTCCACGCTTTTTCTTGACAACGGGGGTTCCATCGCCACGGCCCTGAGCAGTGTTGCCGCCACCAGACCCGTCGGGCGCAGGAAGAGCAAGAACGTTCTGAGAGAGAGATCCCTGGTAACCTCCCGAAGCCCCACCTCCACCTTGCTGCCCCGGACCACTTCCACCACCGCCACCACCACCACCCCCTCCAACAGCTTGACCTCCTGGACCGCCTCCCCCACCCCCGCCGCCGCCGCCTCCTCCTCCTGGTCCTCCCACTCCCCCAGAGACTCCTCCCCCGCCCCCGCCCGGCACGCCCTGAGAATTAGATGGCAAACTCGGCCGAATTGCTGAAGGCGCTTGTATCACCCCGGACATGGATGCCCCAGGCGGCACCACCGAGGGACCCCGTAAGTGTTGTATGTTGATGGGTACCCTGGTAAAGGAGCCTGCGGCCGCAGAAGCAAGATGCGTTTGCTGCTGCTGGTGCTGATGGTGAGGCAACTCACGGCCTCCTCCATTCTGCTCCATCCAGTCCGTTAGGGAACCTCCATCGCCAACTCGCATCGGGAATATCCTACAGGAGAGGCAAAAACGCCCCTCTCGCGCTCAGCGCTGTCTAGGTCAGGGGTTAAGCCGGGGGGAGGGGGGGGAGGAGTGAACGGGTCGGTCGCTGTTGAACGGGGGTTAGCAAATTCTCGACTTTTCTCCCTCGCGGAATAAATTCCTTTTCCTTCTTTTTCCGCCTTCCCCGTCCTCTAACTTACGAGGAAGAAAACAAACATGAAAATGAAGATACCTCTATACACATCCAAAAACTACTCTCTCTCTCTCTCTCTCTCTCTCTCTCTCTCTCTCTCTCTCTCTCTCTCTGTTGCGCACACAGTCGCTCTACCTCGCGCTCTCCCTCTTCCCCCGCTCGCTCGCTCGCCCTTCCACTCTCCCCCTATGGAAGGCGCCAGCCAGACGCGCAAGAGGCCCCGCCTGCCTCCTTCCGCCCAACGAAACGACCGACCGTCCGCCCACACCTTGATGCGACTATTGCGACATATCGACCCACTTTCAAAAGACGAAAAAGAATATCTGAAAACATGCCCGTTTCGTGTTTCCGCTCACCAACCACCCCTGCCCAACCCTTCGCACCCCACCCCACCCGGCGCCGCACGGCGCCGTGCCGTGCCGTGCCGTGCCGCGCCGCGCCGCCCCGCGCCGCGCATGCACCCTGTCCTTCGTAGAGCTCTCAGCTCACTGTATCATCCCGTTCTCTCGCGACACCTTCGAGTCGAGCCAAAACAGGGAGAAGGTGTAGCCGTCGCTCCTCACAAAGCCGCTCGATCAATCCCTTGATTACGCCTCTCGCTCTCCCTCGCCGACTTTCTTTCTTTCTTTCTTTCTTTCTTTCTTTCTTTACAACATATTTCATCTCGCTGGAGCAATACTCACACAAGGATCCAGTGGAAACAGAGGTCAGGAGCCGGGGAAGAGGGATTTACGAACGTTTTCGGGAGTGTTGATTATCATGATTTTCCTCCACACAATTTCAAGCGACGACAGCGTTCTGGAGGACGTTTCGGCGTCAGAAAAGGCTATTCTTTCCAAATAATGGCTAGGCAAAAATCTTTTACGCATTTCCCTTTGCAGTCTCTCTACCGTACCGATTGTACCATATTCGAAAAACGACACAGTTGACCTCCAATCAGAAAACACGTCCCACGAGCGAATTTCGCCGACTCTGCAATCCTCCAGTGAAAATTCAGCTTCCCCTATTCGAGCTCAGCCAGGCGCAAGCTCCCCAGAGGATCGACGCGACGCAACTAGACAAGACAGGATATCGGGAGCACGGGAGCCGACCGGCCGCCGGGAATCCAAGGTCATCGGTTTGGGAGACCCGCCGCATTTCCAGCGTCGAAACTGAGTCCAGAGGGTCCATATAGTTGGTGCGGATCAGGCGTTGCAATAAGTCCGTCCGTCGCCAAAAAGGAAAACGGTCTGCGAGAGAGGTCCCAGGGAGCAATCCGTTAGTCCGTGCACGTGGGACCTTGGCCCTTTCGAGGTCTCTTTTTCTTTTTCTGAAAAAAAGGCTGCTTATACATTTTATTTATTCTATATTCTTCTCTACATTTCACCTCACACTACCTACATACCACTACTCCATACGGGAAGCCTGTAGCAGCCAGAACCGTGTTCACATCTCAACCTGCAGGTGGGCCATACGGGTTAGGGGATAGCCGGTAGCATCAGGGACCATGCCAACAGGACCAATCCCTGTGCCTCCCCTCAGGTCCCCTCCCATACGAACATCAGCAGACTCTGCTCAATGCCCATCGGGGGATCCAGTGGACTATCTCTAGGTGGCGGGCGCCAAGCATGCCTAGGAAGGTACATGAGGTCAATTTCGCAGCCCTTAGGCTGTGGTATAGTGGGCTTCGGCGTTTGTGTCAAGGTGTCGCATTTTTGGCGGCGGGCCATCAGGACGCAAGTGGGTTTTTTGGGGGCAAAAAGATTTGGGGGACCAGTCCTTGGCAAAATTGCGGACTACCTACAGCTAGCTCTGGTAGAACCGGGACTTTTGGAAAAACGAAGGACCGGTCCTCAGGTGGAACTCGACCCCAAAAAGAAGTGGGGGTATTGGACCGGTCCTCAGGTAGAAGCGGACCCTAAAAAGAAGTGAGGGCATGTGATCTACAAAAGGGCCCTCAGGCCCAGGCGTTGAGCCCCGTCTCTCAAAACAGGGAGGTCAGGCACAACGAAACAGGCAATTTGCAAGAGGCAACTTTGGCGATTTTTTGTGCTCAGACGAACATGCACAAAAATCTGAAATTTTGAGAATCCATAGATGAGGTCGTGTTCTTTCCAGAAATAATAATATAACATTTATAAAAAATCATTTAGACTGCGAAATAATCGTCGCGCCGATTCAGCACATTTTCCATTTTTGCCACTCAGCCATTCCTGGGCCAACTAAAAAAGTACTCCAAATTCAGTGAGTTTTCTCGCTCAGAAAAATGCGTGAAAAACCCTGAAAATTTGAGTACTCGTAAATTTTGTTGTGATCTTTCCAGGACAAACGCTACATAAATTTAAAAAAATCATTCCAACTGCGAAATAGATTGCGGCCGCAATTTGACCCATATTTCAATTTTGTCATTCAACCTCTCTCTCTCTCTCTCTCTCTCTCTCTCTCTCTGGACGTTGCGTCACTTCAGGAGTGCGGGTTCTGAGAGAACCAAGACCTTGACGATTATTAAAATTTTTCATCGAATGGTAGCTAACACATACGAGATGGCGGATCTACTGCCCGTGATTGACCTGTTCGAATGGGAACTCTGACTCATGGATTACCCATGGAGGATAACCCGCACCGCGATACTTGCGTTCATCCGAAACTGCAGGGATGCGAACGTCCGAAATAAATTTTAGGAGTACCTGGAAAAGCAAGAAGCACCAAATCGATGGATATAAAACTGAAAGTCCGGAATAACATACGTCAAAAAATTCACACGACTCGGAATATGAAGCTAAAATCACAAATCGAAAAATTAAAAATCAAAAATCAAAAATATAATTTTGCATGGAATGAAAATAAATTTTCGACGACGAAAAAAAAACATACACGACTAAGTACTATAGAATATCACGGAATTTATGCAGATATAACGACGTAACAGTGGTGCTCACATTTCCAAACATACAAAACAGATAGAAAATGAAAGACCTAAAACCGTGGAAACGAACCAATAAAGAAAAAGTACTCACCTGGAAATGAAGGAAAATCCACGGCCATGAAAGTAAACAAGAACAGAACAAAAAACAAGGCCGGATTCGATTCAGTATAAAAAAACAGCGGAGTTATAGGCAAGTACCATAGCACAGACAGAATCATTAGATACGATGAAAGTAGCTCCAGATTGAAGGCATGTTGGAAATCGACCACGACAAGGATAACACAGAAAGCGACTGCGGGAGATCCTTAGGATAGATGATGAGTACACTGCAAGAATAGGGAAAGTGGCGGAGAAGGACTGGGAATGAAAGGTATAAATACTGAGGATAGTGGCTGGAATGATTACCTGAGTAGTGAGGTAGAAGGGTAATCGTGACTGGTGTCGCATGCCATGGACATTACGTGTATGCTGTAAAAGTAAAACCTCGCATGTTCTGTCTACATTTGCGTGTGTATGCTGTGAAAGTAAAACCTCGCACGTTCTGTCTACATTTGCGTGTGTATGCTGTGAAAGTAAAACCTCGCACGTTCTGTCTACATTTGCATGTGTTTATCTCTATGCACGGTGCTTAGAACTTGCGGGCGGTAGTGAGGGCATGTGATCTGCAAAAGGGCCCTCAGGTCCCAGGCGTTGAGCCCCGTCTTCTCAAAACAGGGAGGTCAGGCACAACGAAATAGGCGTTTTGCAAGAGGCAACTTTGACGATTTTAAGTGCTCAGACGAACATGCACAAAAATATGAAATTTTGAGAATCCACAGATGAGGTCGTGTTCTTTCCATAAATAATAATAGAACATTTATAAAAAATCATTTAGACTGCGAAATAATAATCACGCCGATTCAGCACATTTTTCATTTTTGTCACTCAACCATGCATGGGCCAACTAAAAAAGTACTCCAAATTCAGTGAGTTTTCACGCTCAGAAGAATGCGTGAAAAAACCTGAAAATTGAAGTACTCGTAAATTTTGTTGTGATCTTTCCAGGACAAACGCTACATAAATTTTTAAAAATCATCTCTCTCTCTCTCTCTCACTCTCTCTCTCTCTCTCTCTCTCACTCTCTCTCTCTCTCTCTTTCTCTCTCTCTCTCTCTCAGGACGTTGCGTCACTTCAGGTGTGCGGGTTCTGAGAGAACCAAGACCTTAACGATTATCGGAACATTTCATCGAATGGTAGCTAACACATACGAGATGGCAGATCTACCGCTCGTGATTGACCTGTTCGGACGGAAACTCTGACTCATGGATTACCCATGGAGGATAACCCGCACCGCGATACTTGCGTTCATCCGAAACTGCAGGGACGCGGACATCCGAAATAAATTCCAGGAGTACCTAGAAAAGCAAGAAGCACTAAATCAACGGATATAAAACTGAAAGTTCGGAATAAAATACGTCAAGAAATTCACACAACTCGGAATATAAAGCTAAAATCACAAATCGAAAAATCAAAAATCAAAAATCAAAAATATAATTTCGCATGGAATGAAAATAAATTTTCAGGGACGGAAAAGAACATACACGACTAAGTACTCTGGAATATCGCGGAATTTCTGCAGATATAACGACGTAACAGTGACGCTCACGTTTCCAAACATACGAAACAAATAGACGATAAAAGACCTAAAGCAGTGGAAACAAACCAATAAAGAAAAAATACTCACCTGGAAATGAAGGAAAATTCACGGCCATGAAAGTAAACAAGAACAAAACAACAAACAAGGCCAGATTCGAGTCAGTATAAAAAAACAGCGGAGTTATAGGCAAGTACCACATTAAGACAGAACTCCGACAGAGAGGAGAGTACCCGAGTAACACGCACATAATCATTAGATATGATGAAAGTAGCTCCAGATTGAAGGCATGTTGGAAATCGACGACGACAAGGACAACACAGAGAGCGACTGCGGGAGATCCTGAGGATAGATGATGAGTACACTGCAAGGATAGGGAAAGTGGCGGAGAAGGACTAGGAACGAAAAGTATAAATATTGAGGATAGTGGTTGGAATGATTACCTGAGCAGTGAGGTAGAAGGGTAATTGTGACTGGTGTCGCATGCCATGGACATTACGTGTATGCTGTGAAAGTAAAACCTCGCACGTTCTGTCTATATTTGCATGTGTATGCTGTGAAAGTAAAACCTCGCACGTTCTGTCTACATTTGCATGTGTTTATCTCTATGCACGATGCTTAGAACTTGCGGGCGGTACCCACGATGATTGGCAGTTTATAGATCTGTCACTCTTCCATTTTACATTCACTGTCTTTATCTCTCTCCCATCATTCTTAACCCTTTTTTTTAATGATATCATAGTGGCGATTTGTTGGAGATTACTATAGCGTGGAGATTACTCAGCGATTTTTGGAGATTCTATTTTACTTATCTGGTGTGTACTGAAGAGGATCAACAGCGTTGTTGGGTTTTTTATCGATTTCAAATACGAAGACTACCTACCTGACGTTCCCAAGCTTCAAGGAAGATGTCGCGTTCGCGATCATCGTCGGACAGGAGGTGGCGCAGACACTTTTCATCATCTTTCAGAATTCAAGGGAGGAAACGCTCAAGAAGGGGGAGATCGAAAACTCCGA